TCGAGATTGATTTAGGAAGGTCTTTCTGGTTGTACCCCGCTCTTTCAAAAACCGTTTTTTGTATTAAATGGGGACACATGCATGGAACAGAGAACTATGGATTAGTGGCGAGGGACTGGCACACACGTCAGCCCACCATGAAGTAAGGCGTCAATAGGCGCTCTGAAATTCGACGCTAGTATAAACTACTCAGTTATACCTTTGTTAAGAATCGAATTCTCCACTGTAGGCATGGCAATGTGTGCTTCATTGTGATTGATTTCTACAATAAGATCATTAATTTGTTCTGACAATTGCGTTAATCTCCATTACATTCTAAGAGTAGGTGAAGAATCACTTCGATCAATCGTCATCTGTTCCTGTGTTTCTGCAGCAGGATAGTATGAGTCAGTGCCACCGGGCCCTGGAAATCATCATCATACCTCATAATGCTTCAACAAATATTTATTAAAGCATGTAATGATGGAATTTGTTGTTTGACATTTTTTGCGCTCAAAACTTGGCCATACTCGGTGAAACGCCTTTCGCTGCTTTTTCTGCTCTCAATGTGCTAAGTACAGCATTGCGTGCCAGGTGAAGGCACACCCTAGGATCAAACGTGTGCGATTCTCGCACACGAAGATGAAGTATTGTTGCGAAATGGGCCAGCAGAAAAGAAAAAGAATCCGTCGAAAACGCTTAGGTTAAGGGCTTGCTCACCTTCGTAATGCGGCTGTGCTAAGGCAATGAGAGACTGAGCGCGGAGAGGAGAGTATGAGGCGAGAGAGCGCAACAGATGAGAGGGCGCCAGACAACAGCCTGCTGCGGACGGGGAACATTGCAGCTGCTGCAGCTAACTTTGCAAGGCCCCATTAACCTTGTTGAGCGATTTTCACGCGCAGGACATCTGTGATTGTCTCTAGGGTTCTGTCCTACTGACCTGAAGGGAATCATTCACATAACTTCTACCCGCCTTATGCTTTGGAGCTTGGTTGGCCCATTCTCTTCCCTGCGGCAGTCATGTCTCTGCTGTGAGTACTGCTTGCATTCTGTACTGTACTTGCTGTATGCAAATCGTGATGTGACTTATGGCAATAAAAAAGGTTGAGAAGCCGAAGCTACTTGTAGAAATAAGGCAATGTGTATAAGAAATTCTGCATGGGTAATGGTCATGGGTAAGTTGTACCTTGAGTCAACATACCCGTCCTCATTGATGCCGGAGAATGGTGATGAAGAGTTTTTCCGGATCTGAACGGTGCACGGGACGGCTGAAGGCCATAACCATGGCGTATGGGACCGACTGAAATTTGGAAATTCACATCGCTTTTCCTATGTCGGATGTCACGGCTGTGAATGTCTATACTGTTCAGGTGTGCGTGAACGGACTCGAAAAAGAGGCTTTTGCGATAAACG